TTACCAAGCCAGGCGCTGGTGCACACGCCTATAATCCCCGCTACTCAGGAGGCTGAGATCTGAGAATTGCAATTCAAAGCCAGCCCGGGCAAGAAACTCCATGAGACTCTTATCTCTAGAAAACCAGAAGTGGCTCTGTGGCTCAATTGGTAGAGCGCTCACCTTGAGCTGAAGAGCTCAGGGACAGTGCCCAAGCCCAGAGTTGAAGCCCCCACAACCAACAGAGAGAGAGAGAGAGAGAGAGAGAGAGAGAGTTACCAGAGTCCCTAGGATTCTGGTCCTAGCACTCGGACCAGAGCTTGGTTCTTCCACATCTTGAAAGATGGACATGTACTTAGGAAATAAAATATCCAATGCAAAACACCAACTTCCCCATGACTACACTAGGCCTACCTACTGTAAATGCTCTTCCAGTTTCATTGGGTACAAATTGTTCAGAGACCATCTTAAAATTCAGAATTCAAGGTTCCAGCCCAGACCTATGAAACAAAAATATCTTGGAGAGGGAGGTCCTTGGAGGGTTAGTATTTTGATAACATACCCTGCACAATCTTACATATAGCCAGGTCTGGATATCAGCATGACACTGGGCAAGTCAATGATCCAGAATGCTGAGGATCTAGGAATATAAAGAAGGTTAACAGGTCTGACTCTCTTCATGAATAATTAAGATTCTCTCTTAAATAGATCCGTAATGTGACCAGTGCATTCTTCATACACATCTCTCATCCAAAATGTGAATATTAAGGTTGAAAACCTAAATTAGAAAGTCTGTTCAACTCAATAAATAAATCATGTCTTGGGAAAGTGTAACTTTTTAAGTTAATGATATAAGAAGGAAATAAGGAATGTTATGGAAGGTCTGGGCTTATGAAACACACCCATCATTCTTCCTGAGTCAGAAGAGCTAACAGCAATGTTTTGCACACATTGTGGAAAAGGCTAGAAGGAAGGTCACTGAATGTCTTACTACAAAGAAACAATCAATGCTTGAGAAGAAGAACATGCTAATTGCTCTGATCTGTACATATATCAAAACATCACACTGCATCCCATCCATGTATGTGACAATTAAAAATAAGAACAATGTAAATCACAACATTATGAGAGTAACCATTCCCTTACTACTCAGAAGTTGGCCCCATGCTCTAGTTCTCTAAATTTGTCTCTTCAAACATTAGCATCTCTATCTAAATAAGACAGTCCAAATAAGGGAAACCACGGGACCTATGTTTCTTTGGGTCTGGCTTACTTCACTTAATATGATCTTTTCCAAGTCTTTCCATTACCTTACAAATGGGGTGGTGTCATTCTTTCTAATGGAAGCATAGAATTCCATTTGTGTATGTATATGTGTGTATATATAATATATATATATATTTATATTTATATATCACATATTCTTGATCCATTCATCCACTGAGGGGCATCTGGGTTGGTTCCATATCTTAGCTATGGTAAATAATGCTGCGATGAACGTAGTTGTGCTAGTAGCTGTAGTATGGCCTTGTTTGTGATCATTTGGGTAAATGCCCGGAAGTGGTATTGCTAGGTCATAGGGGAGCCCTATGTGTAGTCTTTTGAGGACCCTCTATACTGCATTCCAGAGTGGATGAACAAGTTTACACTCCCACTAAAAGTGTAGTAGCATTCCCTTTTGGCCACATACCCTCTAGCATCTGTTGTTATTAGATTTCTTGATTATAGCCATTCTAACTGGGGTGAGGTCTGTGACCAGAGAAATAACAAACAAGAGAAAGAAAACAAAAATAAAGTGCAATTTTTCTGAAATGTACATTTTACTCAGATAAATCTAGGAGAGAAGATTTGGCTTTATGGCTAATGAATAAATAATTGAATAACTAATCACATAAAAGGACATCCATAGGAAATGCTTTGAACTGACATTCCCTTCAAGAGTCATCATTTGCTGACCACATCACACAAGGGTTAAGTTCTTAGCTACAGCCCAAGGCTGAGCACAGAGAGGCAAAAACTAATTGTCCTCTAGTTCAAGTATGCCCATGGTTAATGTAGGTTTTATGTCAGGTTAACATTGGTGTTAAATGATGCAAAGCCCAGGACCCATGCTGTAGAGTTAGTGTGCATTTTTTTCTAATAGGTTAAACAGATTTAATTAATTGCTTTTAGAGCCATTAATATAGCAAATTACAAGAATATACACTGACACAAATGTGTCACAAGGAACATAAAACATTTCTGTACCAGTGGTCATTACTCTAAAAAACTACAACTGGTAAGTTTGTTCCTAAATTAAACAAAGAGAGAGAAAGGGAGAGGGAGAGGGGAAGAGAGAGAGGAAGACAGAGACAGAGGGGGGGAGAGAGGGAGACAGATGGGGGAAAGAGAGAGAGAGAGAGAAACAAAATGACAGAACAAAGGGGAAGAGAAAAAGAAAGAAAGGGAGGGGAAGAAAGAAAAACAAATTCGCTTCACCATTCAAAAAATAAAACTCAAGTTCTCACAACCCCACTGGACAGTTTTCCTTCAACCTAACAGCAAACAGTTTAGTAGAAATGTCTTTAGATGGCAATGACCTGTTTATGTCCTATTAACCTTTAGTAATCAATGCATTTAAAGCCCATAAGGTAAAAATATTTGTAATTTCTTTTCTCTTACATAGGCAACTCATTATATAAATTTACTTTGGTCAACTTATTAACAGCACCAAGATTTATACATCTTATAATTTATTTCTTTTCCAAGTGCCCCTGTCTCTGCAAGACCCAAAGATAAAGATAAAGATGGTGTTCGCTGTGGATCACACTATCAGATGCCCTGTTCACTTGATCTAAACGATCAACCCTCCTCCCTGGTTTTTCTTTTCTTCTTTTTTGTACTTTTTATTTTGATTTTCATTTTAGTTGTACAAGGAGGTTCCAATTCAATAAGTCAGATTCTTCTTACACATGAAAAAAACTGGCATTTACAGAAGTTAAGTAATTAATGCAAAGTCACACTGACAGTACATGGTAGAGTTATATTTCTTTTGAGGGAGGGAAGTTTGGATTTGGAGACCTGTTTAGCTTCTTTGCTTGTGTAGCTGGTCCTCTACCACTTGAACCAGGGCTCCAGCATTGCTTTTTGTTTTCTATTTTGGAAATTTGAGTTTTTCAAACTTTTTGGCCCAGGCTGGTTTCAAACTGCCTTCCTCCAGACTCAGCCTCCTGAATGGCTAGGATTACCTGCCTGAACCACCGGCACCCAGTTCTTCTTTGCCTTTAGTTCTTTTGCAGATAGGCTCTCATGTTTGTGCCTGGGCTAGTTTCGGAGTGAGAGCCTCCTATCTACACCTTCTTCATAGCTGGGATTGTAAATGAACCACCACGGCTATCCTGTTTATTGGGAATGGATCTCACTAACCTTTTGCCTGAGCTGCTCTCAAACCTCAATCCTCCCGAATACCTTTGATTACAGACATCAGTAACAACACCGGATCCAGAGCTGAAATTTTAAACCAGGTGCACATCCAACTCTCATGTTCCAACTAGACTGCCACAGGGTTTTCCAGTGTGAGGTGAAATGGTGATGAGTAAGTGTTATCTGTTACTCTATATGGTTCATCAATTGACTAGACTCATTACTACAATTAATAAGCATCATTCAGTAATAGGCTATCTCATCATTCTTTTACAAAGCAAAAAAATTATAGTGTTAGACTCAAACCAAGAATAATGTAAGAGTTCTATAGTTACAAAGAAAAGAGAAAAACAACATGATTGATCATTCACAATATGCCATTCAATCCCATCATTGTAATTAACATACACTGAACCCAGGGTTGCAGAATGTACCAAATCAGCAGAGAAGTCAAACACTTAGTGAAATGAACAAACATTAACCCTGTTCCTTATTAATAGGTAACAACATTAGGTTAATTTTTCATGAGCATGCAATATAATTACTACCTCAATATCCATGTATGCAAAAATAAATTCATGTGCCCTGTTTCCTTCCTTGAAAGCATTCTTCTTCAAAATGATGCTATTTGAATTACAATGATAATGTCTTTTAATAACCCAACGTCAAAACCCTAGTCATCTTTGGCCCCCAACTTGCCTCCTAATTCCAGCCATTCGTTTTTCGAGTCATTATTAATTTAGACCCATCATCCCTCTAGTGCCCTCCTTCTCCCAGTACCTCTGTCCCATCGCATACCAAACCATCTGACAATCTGGGGAAAATCTCCTAGTCTCAAACAGATACTGATTTTACATGTCTTAAGTTTTTCATGAAGAAAATGTCTATGATTGAATATTCTTATCCGGCTGCATGCAGTTTCTCCTCCCATAGTCTTACCTGTACTAACCAATTTCATGTAACTCACTGTATGCCTGCACCAATGGACTCTAGGGGCTGTTCTCCTTTCTAGCTCAGTCTCAGTGCTTTTGCTGGATTGATTTCATCACTTGGAATAGAGGTCTTGCCCTCTGCTCTCCAGATACATCCTTTCAAACCAAGTCCAAGGCCACTGCTGCCCAAGTCACTAGGATCTCTGAACCCCCAAACTCCCCTTCTAAGGCTATGTGATACCTCTGTTTGGAAATCAACACTCTCCGGCTCGATTGCAGCTATTTTTGAGCATCTTCTACCTCCAAACCAACTACAAGCATGGCATACAGAGATGCCTCTGTCTCTCCTCAGCATCAAGCCTGTATCTTGTGCATCTGATGTGTTCAATGAACTTTCCTTGCATTGTATTGTGAAAGCCTTTACACTGAAGGAAAATGCATTCCCCACGGCGCTGCTCAAGCAAGCTGCAGGTTTACACAGAACCTAATGGCATAAAACATTTCAACCTCTCAGTACCAAGTTTTCTAGTATAACGAAACCTAATTTCTTTGGATTTTAGAATTGGCCAACCAGAGAGTATTGAGAAAATGTTCACGTTAATCAAAACAGTTTAGAGAAAACATGTCTGGGCCTGACTCAGTGCACATCACCCCGGGGCACACCTAGCATCTGAGGAGAAATCTTACCTTGCAGTAGACAATCATGTTGGGAGAACTGTCTTCTGGGTCAGCGATCCCAACCGCTCTTTGATCCCCGGATCCCTGGGCCATCCTGACTGAGCGTCTCCTTTACTCTGAAACAGAAAGGAATATACTATCAAGTCATTTTTTTACGTAGCTTTGAAATACAAAGATCTAAGCATCTTTTTAGTGTTTGTTTGTTTGGTCCATACAAGGATTTAAACTCAAGGCTAAGTGCTTGTTAGGCAGGGCCTTTATATTTTGATCGACAACTCCAGTCCTTTTTGCTTTAGTTCTTTTTCAGATGAGTCCTTGCTTTTGCTCCAAATGGCTCAGTCCTCAATTCTCCTACTCAAGGCTCCCAGGTGGCTGGGATTATTGCCATGTACAAACAGGCTCAGCAAAAACTAAGTATCTTCTGACAGGTGCCATAAAAGTAAAACAGAACGTAAGTATTTAGTTTTCATTATTAACTGAAAAGATTTGTTTTCAGAGCTGGGACATGGCTTCACTGATAGAACACCTGTCTAGTAAGTGTAAGATCGGAGATCAAATGTTTGTACTTCAGAAAAAAGCAAACTCAGGAGATAACTATGGTTTCCAAAGGAACACAGCCCTTCTTTGTATCCTTAAGTCTCATGCCTTAGGAGTAAGTGTATGCCAACCTTAATCCCCTCAAGACAGATATTAGCAGCATTCTGTTTATTTTTGTCTCATCCAAGTTCATTTTCTGATTAAAACACTATGTAGTAAAATGTATTTCATTATGGAAGGCAAATCAAGACCTCCGAGAAATAGACTTTATATCTATGAAAATGATTGCAATAAAAAAATTAAAATTAAAATACCAGAAATTGGCAAGGACATAGGGAAATGAGATCCTTTGTACATTATTGATAGGAATGGTATAGTCATAATAACACAGTCCAATGGTTCTTCAGAATGGTAAACATAGGATTACCACATGATCTAAAAATTCTATTAACAATGTACATAAACCCCCCAAGAACAGAAAAGAAACATTCAAATAGATGCGTTCAAATATTTACAGCATTCCTAATCACCATAGCCAAAAGATGGACCAATCCAGATGTCTACTGATTAATGAATGGATAAACAAAACATGTCTATCCATACAATGGACTAGTAGTCCTCCATACAAAGAAATAAACTTCAGAGTTGGAGACATAGCTCAGTTGTAAAGTACTAGCCAATGAGTGAAAGTGTGAGGTACCAAGTTCAAGTTCCAGTCTTGGACTTAAAAAAAAAAAGAAAAGAAAAAGAAACTTCTGACACACTAGAATGCACAGAAATATTACACTAAGTTTCAGACAACAAATGAAAAAGTTGTGTACTGTGAGTCCATTTATGTCAAAAATCCAGACCAGGTAAATTCAGGGGGACAGAAAAAAAGATTGGCAGCTACCAGAATCTGGGGAACACAGAGGATGGGTAGGGTGGCCTTAATGGACAATGAATGGGGTCTCCCTTAGGAACAATGAAAAGATTTTGAAGCTAAATAGATGTGAGCAATTTAGAATACTGTGAATGTACTAAAGGCCACTGAAGATGGTTAATTTGATGTTAAGTGTATTTCTTCAGCTCAGTTAAGAAAACTGAGTGTGATTAATTTGGCCTTTTAAAAATCTTGGCAGGATAACAGTAAGAAAATTCCAAGTGTGTGGAATTTCTGAATAATAAAGCAAGTTCAGTTCTTGGGAATGACCCCATATTTGCTGAGTGACCTTGAGAAGTTAAATAGCCCATTGGGTTCTCTTGACTAATTTTCCTTTAAAATGAACCTATGGAGAGATTGGAAGGCATGCTTAGAACCACGCCAAAGAACCCTGCTCTTCTTCACTCCATCAGCAAACTGTGAATCCCACAGCCCACAGAGAACGCACCAGGTACGGGTCAAATAGGCTGAGCTGAGCAAGAAAGTACACTATAAAGCCATAAAAGTCTTTGACAAATGTTATCACTAATCTAACAACATGCCTGAGTTAGCTGCACAAATTTCACAGGCTTTTCATCAAGGAAACTTTCATAAATACTTAAATACTTAGCCAAAAAAAAGGCCATTCCATTTAAAAGAAAAATCAGAAAATGTTCAATTAGAAAAAGTTGTACCAAAGGTCAGTCCATTGAAACAAGTTTGGATAGAAAAGGGAGAGAGACAAGAATCTGCCAAGTTATGCTAAGAATGCAATGTCCAGAAGAATGCAGGTGGCTCAAGCCTATAATCCTAGCTGGACAGGAGGCTGAAATCTGAGGATCCTGGTTTGAAGTCCGAAAGTCTGTAAGACTCTTTTTTAAAATTTTATTTATTGTTATTGTTAAGGTGATATACAGAAGGGCCACAATTATATAAGTCAGAAAAAGAGTACATTTCTTTTTGAACAATGTCACCCCTTCCCTCACTCTCTCCCAGTTTTTCCCTCCTGTCCCCATCCCCACCTATGAGTTGTATAGTTTGTTTTCAACATAGTGTCTAGTAAGTATCACTGTTGCATTTGTCCAGCCTTTATCTCATCATTTCTATGCCTCCCCATACCCTCTCAAAAACAGATAAACAAGACGAAAGGAAATTAAAACAAAAATAATGATGAAGAATTTAAAAAACCCTCATTTCCATTTCCTAGGGTTCATTTCAATAAATACTACTTTATATGGTTAGATGCACATAGATCTCCAATTAATACCAAATAGCTAGAAGTGGAGCTATGGCTCAAATGGTAGAGAGGGCTAGCCTGGAGCAAAAAAGCTCAGGGATAGCACCCAGGCCCTGAGTTCAAGCCCCAGGACCAGCATGTTAGCAAGGAAGGAAGGAAGGAAGGAAGGAAGGAAGGGAGGGAGGGAGGGAGGGAGGAAGGGAGAGAGGGAGGGAGGAAAGGAGGGAGGAAAAGAGGGAGAGGGAGGGTGGGAGGGAGGGTGGGAGGGAGGGAAAGAGAGATAAATGAAAGGAAATGAGGAAAGAATGCAGTTCTCCAAAATACTTCCAGTAGGGTGATATTGCTGCTTTTCTTAGCATATAGGAATTATTAGTACATTCCAAGTGGGGTTACAAGCAGAGATAAAGAGAACAGTTCTATTACCTGTACTTGATTACATCAGTATGTCCATAAATAGATTACAACAGAGAGACACTGGCTATTATTCTACTCAGTGACTTTTGGGGGGGGGGTCTGGTCGTGGGGCCTGAACTCTGGGCCTGGGCGCTGTCCCTCAGCTCTTCAGCTCAAGGATAGCGCTCTACCACTTGAGCCACAGCGCCACTTCTGGCTTTTTTCTGTTTGCTTATGTGGTACTGAGGAATTGAACCCAGGGTCTTGAGCATGCAAGGCAAGCACTCTACCACTGAGCCACCTTCCCAGCCCAATACTCAGTGACTTTTTAAAGCCGAATGAACAACACACTTTCATTTTCCAAGGACCACTCACTTCCCTATCCCAGAACCCAACAGCCACAAGTCCCTTTGTGCACGCTGGTTTATCTAAGAAGCAGAACCTTGCTGAGTCTCCTTGCTTTATTTTCAAGCACACACTTTCACTCTACTAAACATACTCTCTTCCACTACCTAAATCACTGCTATCATGGCAAGGCTGGAAATGACCTAGAAACAACCATCTTAGCCCTTCCTCCACCTCCATCCGCCCCTCCCAACCACAGAAGCATTTCTGGTTAGCATGGCCTGCTTGTCCCTCAGCCTAGGCTGGAGGTTGCTAAGGGAGTGCCCAGAGCTCCAGTTAGGAATCTTAGTGAGTTTGTATTCACTAGAAAGGTTTCTATATTTGGTTCCTCTATCAACTGGTTGGGAAACTCACACAAGCCATTTAATTTTTCTGTGTCTAAAAAGAATCCTTTCTAAAATAGTAATATAGACACCTTCCAGTCCGTAAGTCAACAAATGTTAGGGAGAACTTCACGTGACACCTCTGTAGGTAAGCACTACATAATTAAATTCACTGGCTGCAATACTGGAGCTCCTGAAATTGACTAACCAGATATCCAGTCATTATAATATGCTGTACTGCCAAGCACCAGTGGCTTTACACCTTTAATCCTAGCTACTCAAGAGGCTGAGATCTGAGAATCATGGTTCAGAACCAACCCAGCAGAAAAGTCTGTGAAACTCTTATCTCCAACTAGCCAGCAAAAATCTAGATGTAGAGCTATGGTTCCAGCCCTAAGTGAAAAAGCTAAGGACAGCACCCAGACCCTGAGTTCAAGTGCAATACTTGCACTAATAATAATAATAATAAGCTATAAAATATGTATTTCTCTCTCTTTTATTTAACTTTTTTAAAAATTTTGTTAAGGTAATGTACAGAGGGGATTACAGTTACATAAGTAAGGTAGTGATTACATTTCTTGTCTAACTTGTTACCCCTTTCCTCGTTTTTTTTCCCTCTTTCCCTGCCCCCCAACCCTCCCAAAGTTGTACAGATCATTTCCAACATGTTGTCTTTTGAGTATCACTGTTGCATAGGTTTCCCCTTTATCCTTTGTCTCACCATTTTGTTTTTCTCTTTCCCTTCCCTAGTTCAGAGTATCCAGAGTACCAAAATCGAATACAGTGACAACAGAGGATAAACCATAGGGAAGAAAAAAGAAATCACATTGAGAACAACAACAAAGAAAAACCTCTTGTGTCCATGTTGTGGAGTTCATTTTGCTTAGCAAATATATGGTCAGATGTACATAGCTATTGAGCTATTCTGCTCATCTGCTAAGATTATCCTAGATGTATGCTAACTATTGCAAATAAGGGAGATCATTGGAGTTTCTTTGGATCTGACTTATTTCACTTAACATTTTTCCAAATCCTTCTACTTCCTTGCAAGTGGGGTGGTGTCATTCTTTCTGATGGAAGCATAGAATTCCATTTTATATGTACAGACCACATTTTCTTGATCCATTCATCTACTGAGGGATATCTGGGTTGGTTCCATATCTTAGCTATGGTAAATAATGCAGTGATAAACATAGTTATGCTGGCAGCTTTAGTGTGTCCTTATTTGTGATCATTTGGGTAAATACCCAGAAGTGGGATTGCCGGGTCATAGGGAACTCTATGTGTAGTCCTTTGAGGAACCTCCATACTGATTTCAAG